ATTTTGTTTCCCAATTACTTCTCTTACCGATACACATTTAATTTATAATACACATTTAATTAATAATTATGAACATATGAAACATGTTCATAATTAAACAAAACATTTCTAACTTCCTTATATTTATCGCTTAAAATTTCTAATTTCCTATTCATCCATTTCTTTTTTAACTTGCATTATATATATATATATATATTTTGCTATACATTAAAATTTGTATATTGTTGTATTGTATTTAAATGATAAGTTTTAGAAAGTTCTGCATTATAGCTTTAGTTAACAGAAGATGTTTCTAACGTCCTCATGTTGATGAATCGTTAGTATGCATCTTATTTTTCAGTTTAACTTTCAATAAAATTATTTTTAAAGAGAGATGACGCTGAGTTATGCTAATAATATCTCTAACTGTCACTATTTATAATACAAGTTAACGTGATTAATTGTATAGCTCATTTACAATTTTTATAAAAATTTTCAGCCATACCGGAAATAATAGCAAATGCTCCTAATATTTTGATTACATTTTCCTCTTCCTTCATATTTTTGTGATATGTTTCATTACTGCATAGAGATAAATATAATTCATTTACCAGATATGTAAAACTATATTCAGCACACTTTTGCTTTACTAATATTGTACCTTCTTTCTTCTTTAATATATTGTTCAACACTCAGCATCTCATAAGACTAATTTCAAGAGCTGTGCGTTCACGAGCGATCAAGCGGTAAAGTCATTAAACATTGGTAATTTGACTGAAGTTTAAAAGAGAATGATTTGTTTGCATGACAGTTTTCGTGGCTTTTCCTCATATGTAACGTAAATACGAGCCAGTTTATCTTGAAAATTTGCTCCTACTAGTGACCGAATTGAAAACCGCTGTACGCTAGGTTCAATCGCAGGCGAACAAGTTGGCTGAGGCAGATAGCCTTCGGGTACTTTGCTATAACATACAAACCAAGAGCTCTTTCTTTTTTGTGAATATGTAAATATTTATACTGTTATCGGGTTGTGCGAGGACGATAGTAGAGTTCTTGAGTAGTCTACATAAAGGCATTATGAAGATGATTAAGGAAATGAAATTTGGTAAAAAATATGATTAAGGAAATGAAATTTTAAAGTGCTAGGTTAAAATCACTGTTAATTTCTAGAAATTGGTGTGTTAATTACTGAATCCATTGCATTCGTGATTTGTAACTTGTATATATTTGTTTCAGATATTAATTAGTAAAGTGTCATTCCTATTTTTTGTACTATGCTGAACTGCTTTAGTATTTAGTACTAAATGATTTTCCATTAGTTTGGCTAGTTATTGTTGCAAATATTTCAAAATTGCATATTTCAGAGAATTTCTATGTAAATTTGATTATTACAGTGCAAAAATAGTCTGCTATGAATATGTTTGAAATGTAACTTTTATTATGTTATCGAGCTGTGTGAGGACTATAATAGAGTTCTTGAGTAGTTTACATAAAGGCGTTATTGTGAATTTTAACGTGCTAGGTTAAACTTACTGTTAGTATAGAGAAATTGGTATAAAATTATTCAATCCATTTCATTAGTGATTTGTAATTTGCTTATATTTGTGTTAGATGAAATTTTTAATTATTTAATAATGTGCGATTCCCATTTTTGTACTGTGCTGAACTATTTTAGTGTTTTGTATTGAATCGTTTTCTATTAATATCATTTATCAGTATGAGTAATTATTGCTGCAAATATTGAAAAAATGCCTATTTCAGGGAAAATGTAAATTTGATAATTTCATTGCACCAGAGATACAGCTGCATTAGGAGGGTTTGTACGGTTTTTACCTGTGTAACCTTTGACATGTATGTCGGGCCTCCAGCGGCTGAGTGGTAAGCTCTGAACACTGGTAGTTCGGTCAGGGGTTAGAGTCCCAGCGAATTTGCTGGCTCCATGGGCATTTCCGTCGTTTCACTCATGTGTAATTTGCATACAAGCCAATTACTCTTATCAACTACCCTCAGCGAAGGCATCTCTCGTCTTAGCCAGATAGCCCTCTTATGCTTTGCCGTAAGTAAAGAAACTAAACAATTTTTTATGTATATTTCTTTCATCACAAAAAATGGCACATAAAGAATTTCTTTCCATAAAATGGATTTTACATTTTTCTCAAACCCTACCTATTTCTATGTTTATTAAAAAAATTGAAATTTGTTAGAGAAACTTAAACGAAAATAGGTGAGGGCGGCAGTTTTAAGTTTTTGTCCCACCTAGGAAAAATGGTAAATCCGGCGCTGCCTGCACTATTATCATATCTGATGCAAAAGCAAAGTTGTAAAATTAAACTTTTAGCAAAATTAGCAATAGAAGCTCCCTCAGGTTAAGTACTGTGCAGACATTGAAGACAAAAGTTTTAAACTTAACCAATTTATTAACAATATATAAAAACAAAAACACAATGAATAAATTTAATCAATATCAGAAACTTAAAGAGTATAACATAATCATTATCAAAAATTACACCTAATTCATCATCCATTAACCCCAAGGTTTTTTTCCTTCAAAGAATGTTACACTATTAAAGACACAGTAAATATTTTTTACCTGATTTCCAAATACTGGCATTCAATATGCGAAAAACATATCACTAAACAGAAACTACGCGGTTATAATGAAATTTGCTTCACTATCAATAAGTTCATGCTTCGTGGTCAAGAAGGCACCTGAAAAATTAAATTAAATAATTGAGAGCACTTAAACCGGCAAAACGCCGCTCACTGTAGTTACACATGAGAAATCACAGCTTGGAAAATCATTGCCGCTAATTCTGGAAAAACACTTGTGTTGAAGATGCCGACTTCATGAAAACAGGATACTAGCCACGGCAGTCGCTCACATCGTAGCCTCTTTTGAGAATCTAGAAAAAGTCATCTTGCGGACTGGAACCACGGCACTTATCACTGGATGGCACGAATCTCAATATCATCTTCTAATGGGGGCTGGAACGGCACACCACGGAGCAAAGAAACAGGAACCAGAAGGGATGAGCCAGAGCGACGTGAGATACTTATACCTGAAGTAGACATGATGTCATCTCACGGCAACCAATCAGCTAATGGCACGACTCTGCTTTCCAGATGACGTAACATCAAGCTTCGTTTTTGCATCTTAATTAGGATGGAACAGTCCGTTCTTAATACAAACAGTGGCAGTGAAAAACGAAGTAGAAATAACTATTATATCCCTTTAAAATAAGAACTAAACCTTATATAAAAATTATAAATATTTTAAGGAGGAGAGATGATGCAGAAAAGGGTTACAATAGGTCATATTTTCCAACAATATCCATAGGCTGAATGACAGACATACAAATTGAAGAGAAGAATAATACGGATATATTATCTTTCACTAAAATTTTAAGTGAAGTATGCGCCGAACAGTTATGAACAATCAGGACTATTTTTGAGTCATCAGGTAAACCAACCGAATCCAAATGTCGCCGAGCCTCGGGAATAAAATGATTTTCAAACCAATCATTTATCAAGCCTTGTGTCATCCATGCTCTTTTATTTGGGCGATATATAACGGGGAAAATCGTTATTCCTTTAAATGCTCGAGGTCGTGTATGTTTTCCGATTATGAAAAGTTTGCACTTGTGCATTCCTGCAGCATTTGCACACACTAAAATTGTTAGTCTCGTTTTGGCATCTTTGACACCAGTTGGAGCCTTTTCTGTAGAGGTTGCCAAGATATTCTGTGGTACATATTGCCAGAAAAGACCAGTTTCATCAGTGTTGTAAATTTGTTCTGGAGATAATTGTTCACTAGTAATGAATTCATCTGCAAATTGTTCAGCAGCTTCAGTATCAGCTAAAGCTTTTTCACTTGAAATTTTTGTCTTATACCATGGCGATTTTTAAATTTGGTTAACCAACCTGTCGAATATGTGCACTCAGTGTTTAAGTTCATTTCTTCATGAAATATTTTGGCTTGAGCCATTAGCATTGGACCCATCAATGGCACGCCCTCGCTGCGATGCTGTCTGACCCATTCAATCATCACTTTGTAATGATCGTCATTTTTAGCATAACGAACCTTTTTTTTTTTTTTGTTGTTGTTATTCATTGCAAGTGGGGTGTCGGAATCCACAAAAAATTCAAAAAGTTCCTTTTTCTTTTTGAATTAACTTTCCAATGTCACACTCCTCGCATAATTTTGAGACGTCTATGTCTTTATCCATTTTTTGCAGCATTTCCACTTTTTGTTTGATGGACATCGAAACATGCTTTCGCTTTGTAGATCCTTTAGCAGCTCCACAATTGAAAACTCTTTTTGACATAATCGAAAGTTCAAGCTTAATTTTTATAAAATTGCTCTAACAGTCTGCAAAAAATAATAAGCCGCATCCAATTAGAAGATTAAGGAACAGCACAATCTGCAACATTAACTGAAATGCCTCAGAATCAGTAAAGATAATTTCAGCCTAGCTTATATCGTCCGTTGTACATTAAACGCGCATGCGTAAACGCATTACGGGCACGCGTAAAGCATACCAAAAAAAAAAAAAAAAAAAAAAAAAAGTAGTTTGTGGCTTTGAGGTCCAGATTATAAATCATTCCGGATAATGGACGTCTGGATTACGGACTTTGTACTGTATATATTTATTTAGATTTGAATTATTTTCCAACATGCTTTATAACTTACACAACAAAAAGTATAGAAAATATTTGTAAACACCAAAACTTAATTTTTTAAAAATATATTCATAAACTAAAATTAAATACTTAACAAGTAAATAAGGGCTGACCACATCTCCATCCCCTCCCCAAAACTGTGAAATTCCAATCTAGGGGAGAATTCCCTGTTGCTTAAGAATCTCTGGTATATAAATTACTTAGAATCATAATACTAAAAAGTATTCCTAAGATAAATCATTAAATAAATTAATTTGATAGATATTATGTAAATATATAATTTCATGGCCAAATCTAAAAATCTTTAGCAATTAGAGAATTAATGTAGATGTTAAGCCTACCTCATCTGGAACTTCTTCTAAAAGACGTTCCTCTGATGGGAATGTCTGTAAAATAGTAGGTGTAGCCATCATATCAATTTCAGGTTTCTCTGATCGAAATTTAGATTTGAAAGCTTGTCGAAGTGACATTCCTGCAAACTTGAATTTTCAACCTATGTAAAAAATAATATATTACTTAAAATCTTGAAAAGCATAGTTTATTTGCAACTAATACATATTTGCAGTAACTACTTGAATAAAATAAAGATGAAAAAATTTCCTAATTATTTCAAATGCCTTTACTCAATTTTCCTCATTATGAAGATTTAAAAAAAAAAAAATTAATTATGTAACAGGCACCCTTATTATAGAATCAGTTGTCTCCAGCTTGCCTAAAAAAATAAAACTGCAAAAAAAGGCTAAAAAAAAAGAATATTAAAAGAAACAATAGCTAGGACTTCTTTAAGAAATACTTATTTCTTGTCCCCTTACTATATAAATAAAATTTTTCTTTTAATTTCATAAAACACACTTTTATTTAAGATAGATAAAATAAATACTAAACTAAAAAAGAAGAAAAAATTATCTTACAGTTTAACGGAAAGAAAATAATAATCTTTGATAAATTCATTTATAATATCGATAAAAATTAGTGCTGCACCTTTCATAATAATACATAAATAATTAGCTATTACAATTAATTACATTTAACAACTGTTCTGATATGCTTTGAACATTCCCACTGTAATAGCACCAAGACTTAGCGAAAATACTAGAATGTTTCCATTCAGTTAATTTACAAACTTTTTGATATACTGCAGAATTTGGGCAAGTGTACTTGGTAAAGCAGGTACCAAACATATTTCAGGAATTCTTATCAAAAAAAGTATCTTGGAAACATGTGAAATTTTATCAAGCAATAATTTTCCTACTGCTCTAGTTTAAATTCTTACATAAAAAATATATATATAATTTGAAATTTTTTTAAAAAAAATTGATAAATTAGCACAAAATGTGTATAGATAATGGCTTATATTTTTTATATTGCAATTTTATTACAAGATTCCTTTTTTTAAAAAAGAGAATTATTTTCTTGTTTTCATTGAACTATAAGATTTTTTACAGATCCTAGTTCAGATAATATTAGGAAGTTTTTGGATTCTGTTAAGGAATTGTGTTTGACTGAAGACGTGTTAATTTGTAAATAAGGCAAGTGGCTATTTCCTTTGTGTAGCGCAAAGATGAATTTCCTTTTTTTATGTTAATTCATTGTTTGATTTAAAATGTAATTTTTTAGGTTATATATATTTTTTGTTGGCTGCTCCTTTGGCTTTTTAAGTGAATATAGTTTGATGTGTACATGGACAAAGTCAAGGGAGTGCACAATGCCTAGTTTGTGCAATTCTTTGATATTTTTTTAAGTGAAAATAAGTCGATGTGTACATGGATAAAGTCAGGGAAGTGCGCAATGCCATTTTTGTGCAATTCTGGGATGTTTTTTTAAGTGAAAATAGGTCGATGTGTACATGGATACCGAGTTCGAGCAATTCTTTGTTATTTTGGCTTTGTGTAGCGTCGATTTTTGGCACAAATTCACCATTACACAAGCCAAAATAACAAGTCAAAGAACTGTACAAACTTGGTATCCATATACCGCCAATTTCACTATTATTTTGTTATTCATTAAAATTTATGTGCATCACTTAAGAGTTAAAAAAAAAAAAAACATGCATATAATCTTACATTTGCTTCGATGGAATGCTTGTATGCTTTCCATTTCTGCCATCATATTATTGTTGCATTTGATCTTACATTTGCTTAGATGGAATGCTTGTATGCTTTCCATTTCTGCTATCATATCATTGTTACAGTTTTTTACATTTAGCTTTGTGCTGTCCAGCTACTCAGGTTTAATACATTAATACTAATTTAATATGCCTTACAAAAGAAATTCAAGTAAACAAAAGAAGTCCTTCCAAATAGCAACATATGCTTGACGTTCTACTTCTTTTCCTAGATAAATTATTATATAATCTATACTGCAACTTGCATCCAGTGTTTATGAGCCCATGATAAAACTGCAGAAAGCAATCTTCTTTCAAAGGTATTATAACAATGTTTAACTTTTTTTTTTTTTTTTTTTTTTTTTTTTAAATTTGAGATTAATAATGTATGAATTGACTTCACCAAAGTCTACATAAACTGACAGCTCAGTCAATCTTATACACACGATCTCATTGAAAGTGTGGTAATTAATTTCGGTTATGAATCTAACAGTTCCACTTGTCAGTCCTTTGCTAACATCTACTTTAAATCACAGCATTTTTTAGCTCCTTTCAAAGTTTCTAACTTCCTTGCCATACTCATGAATATCAGTACCATCTAAATTTCATAAGATGTGTTTGGATGGTTCATCATCTAAATTCACATTATCAGTATTATGTGTGACATCCAGAAACTCAGCTTGAGCTTATGCTTTATTTATTTATTTTTAAACTGATTCAGTACTCTTTGTATATGTTTAAATACTTGATCATTTGTTAAATAAATTCTTAATTTTTTTTTCTATTGAAAAGTTATCATCTTCTATAATCACTCTCTTTATTAATTCAGAATTACGTTTAGCTTTGAGTTCTCCAATCTGCAGAGCATTCATAAAATCAGTGAAAGGTGTATACCTCTGCTGTTGCATCTTCTCTGTAAGTTCTATTAGAGAAAACAATTGTGATAAATTTGTTGCTGGTGTTAAATGATCAGGCTGATGGAACAACTGACTTCCGAGAGATTGAAGCTATATCAGATTGCTGAATACCTCCAAAAATGTCATCATAATTTTACAATTGCTTTAATCTCAAACCAGTCATATACAGCATTTCCTACTGTAACTCTGCTATTTTGCATGAAAATGAATTCAATAACTCGAACTGGAAATGGATCCGTCTTAAGTAAGTTCCAATTAGTTGAAACTGATCATCATTCTTTAGTATATCAGGTATTTCCTCTTCACTGTCATTATACTCAGGTCATAAGATCTTCATTAAGTATCTTAAATGCATGTACTTGGTTAACTACATTTTTAAACTGTTCATAAGATTTCCTAAATGAGTGCATGTGCTTACTTATTTTATGTATTCCTTTTGAGATACGAATTTTCCTTTTGCAATCTCTAATCCTCAATTAATTCACTTTCACTGATAAAGCAAATATTACAGAAGCATGCTGTAGTAATAGTCTTTTAGTGCTTTAAAAATAAATGCTCTTTTTTTTTTTTAATCAGACTGATTTATTTATGAAATAAAGAAAATAGATGTGAATCGTACAGTATTTTCCTTCTCCAATAAATGAAAGATTACCAAATATGGTTCATTCACATGGTTTTATAATTAACACCCTTCTAGACAAATCTAGTTGTTTTGACAGAATGTAGCCAAGACAAGTCACCATACAAGTATATATAAGTCACCATACAAGTATATATAAGTCACCATACAAGTATATATGAGTTTGAAATCTGCTCTTTTGAGCCACAAATTATGTATTAAAAACTTCCAGCAGAATATTATTAACTCTTTGACGCGCGTTGGCCGCTCCCTGAAACCACCAATTTTTGAATTTTTTCTTTTCTTCCTTCCGAAATTTTTGAGTGAAAATCAATTGATTACTGATCTTTTACCTCTAAATAACACAAAATGACTGCAGAATCATACATGTTTTAGGCCTTAGTACTTCAAATCGGATGCCTTTTAAAATTCGTTTTCAATGAGACAAAATAACTTCCTTTTATTAACATAAACAACTTTAAATTTCAAAAGTTATTTATCGCACATCATGATTTCTATCATAAACAATAAAAAATAGCAATATTTAAACTGCATATATAAAAAAACCCTCTATATGTATGGCATTTGCTTTGTGGTTTCAGGGCACGACCACTGCACCACTAGAGGTTCGGTGGTCGCTCCTTGAAACCCCTGCTCTTCACAGTGGCATTTGCTTGCTTCTCAAATAGGAATGTTTATTTTTACCCGGATATAGATAAGGGGTTTTGAAATCACAGAGTTATTTTATTACTAAACAATACATGCACCTGACCAGTAAAAAGGTCTTTCTTTTCCAGAGACTTTTCTCTGACCTCAACACACTTGCTCCCCAAGCTAGTATTGTGATTTTATAAATTATTTCCTGTGGTTTAAATTTAATGTAAATATACTTTGCTGTAATTAAAAATAGAAATCGTGTAAAGTTTTATTTAAATTAAAAATATTTTCTGAATATTTTGGGATGAAATACGAATAAAATAAATATGAATGGGAAACGAATGATCCGTATCAAAGACAAAAAGACCAAGCCCCTCCTCATTAACATAAAAAAAACACAAATTTCATGTGACAGATGAAAAGAAATTAAATAACGTTGGACGTATACCAGTGAAATTTAGATCCAATCAGCGTACATTTTGTAGCACAAGGAAGAAACCTCACAGAAGAAGATACATGTGGTTTACAAGATAAAATCGCTGAATGTGGTTAAGATCAATTTGAAGTTTCTGTACGATTTGGAATGAAAGGATAAAAAAGCATTAATTGACTGGTGTGTAAATGATGGTTTACTTAGCAGTCATTATAAGTGACCTGTTTGTACGAAGGAAATGTGTCTGGTCGAACGTCGGAAGATACAGGCACTACGGAGGATAATTTTTATTCTTATTTTTGTGAATTTATGTGACGATGCCAGAATATAGATTCTAGTTCAGATAATTCTAGTTTAGGAAGTTCTTGGATGCTGTTAAGGAATTTTGTTTGACTGAAGACACAGAAATATTTAAATAAGGTAAGTGGATATTTCTTTTGTGTGGTGGTTAGATGCTATAAGGAATTTCCTTTTTCATGTTATTTCATCGTTTGATTTAAAATGTAGTTTATTGAGATTATATATTTTTTGTTTGGCTCTAGTAAAGAACTGGCTGCTGCTTTGACTTTTTAAATGAAAAACAGATCGATGTGTACATGGACAAAGAGAGTGTGCAATGCCAAGTTTGTGCAATTCTCCGATGCTTTTTTAAGTGAAAATAGGTCGATGTGTACATGGATACTGAGTTTGTGCAATTCTTTGACGTGTTATTTTGGCTTTGTGTAGTGGCGATTTTTGGCGCAAAACTAGCCACTATACAAAGCCAAAATAACAAGTCAAAGAATGGCACAAACTCGGTATCTATGCACCGCCAGAAATCGCAAATTTTTGCCAAAAGTCATATATATTTTTACCAACTCTTCTTTCTACACCGTATACAGCCACAGGAAAGCTACAATATGAAAAATTAACAGGAGGCTTATTTCTGCAAGAATGGAAAAATGTGATGTTTCTTCTCTCTAAAATAGGATGGCTTTTTGCGGAAGGAATCATTTCCTCAATGAAGAAAAGAGAAACTAGTTTGCTAGACAATGAGATCTTGCTGGGTTCAATATATGTAGATCCAGACACCAAATTTTGTTGGATGAACAAATTAAAAAGCCAAAGAAAGCCATCTATGAACTAAGAATGAAATTTTTCTCAGAACAACTGGAATATTCAAATCAACACAGTTAGACTGCAGACATTGCAACTGAGTCTCTATCATCCTCTTGCATTGATGAATTAGATTTTGAGAAATACTTGGATAATATTGAAAAGGATAAAGCAAAGTGAATGAAAATAAAGAAACATGAGACTTTAGATATAAAAATGATAAAATACAAACAAGATTTCCACATAGCCCTTAAAGAAATAGAGAAATATGATTGCTCTTGCAAGACATCTCTTTTAGAACTTATACAAAACTATCCTAAAAAGTTTTAAAAAGTAGCCCTAACTGTAACAGTTCTCCCACTGAAGTTAGTGTGTAAAGACTATTTTCAGCTCTGAAGTTTATCAAATTAGATGTACGGTCCTTTATTAAAAAAGATTCTGCCGAAGCTATACTGTTTCATAGAAATTACTAATGCCAGTTTTTCCATTTCATAATAAATGCTAATTAATATAAATAATCTGTTATGCCATCCTTTTTTTTCTCTGTAGTATCTATTACTTCTTTTATATTAAAAAAAAACACTGCAACACATGTGTATATGTTTACATATATATGAAGGAATCTTAAAAATTCCAAGAGTCAAAACCGGAGTCAGTTAGTTTCCCTACTGACTTCACAGCCCTGGATTCAAATACAATTGCATATTTTTTAATAAAATATGAAGTAAGATAAAGCATGTCCTCGTACAATTTGAAACAATGCTTACCAGAATTTTAAAAAAAGCCTAATAACTTCAGTGGACCTAGAAGTCCATAAATGACACATTCAGCATTAATTTCCATATTTCTAAATTCTTTTCAACACGTATCTAGTACTACTGTGTATCAATATTAATTAACAAACACATAACAAAAATAATAATTTTCTTCAAAACAGAAAAAGCAAATGTTAAAACTTAAAAACTGCTTTTACTCTCAAATCATTTTGAGCTTTATTTTTATTATTATTACTTATGTGTTCCATCCTAAGGCACTGCACGGAAAGGAAAAAGTCTTTCTAAGGAAACTGGCTCATATTAACATGTTACACATGGGGAAAACCATGAAAACATCCAGGCAGGCAACCTGTTCCTGGGATTCGAGCCTTGGATTGAACTACCAGTGTTCAGGGGCTTTACTGCTTAGCTGCTGGTGGAGCATTTGATCTTGAAGTGCAAAGTTTTATATAATTACATTTACTACAAATAAGGTACAAAATTTCATGCTCATTGGTAATTTAGTTGAGATCGTAAGGCGCATAAACTATGTAACTTAGGATGCAAAGGTTTTCGCATAACATTTTCTTTGAAAATTTAGTGCCCAAGTACTTACAGCATCAGTATGTCAAATTCTACGATGACTAAAAATAAACAAAAAAACCATGTGTGACTTTGTGCTAGCATATTATTTCAGGAAGAAAGAAAAACTTTCTTTCCAAATAAAAAAAAAAAATGGACAGTGTTTGACAAATAACATAAGATGCCTTACAAAAGAAATGAAAGAAAAACAAAAGAATATATGGATAACACATTTAAGCTCTTAAATACATATGATTTCTCAAAATTTTGGTTTATTTCATTATAACTTCAATAAAAAAAATATTACACCAATTACGGCACTGTTACCAAGTAACTTCATGAAATTACACAAAAGAAAAACAGCATATCAGAATTTTAAACTAGAATTATATGGTTTATGAGTATTTCCACGGCTTCGTAGTATACTCATATAATAAGATTATATGTGTAATTTTAAACTGTAAATTAAAGCATTCCAAAATAACACACATCAAAATATTAGAAGACCTGATCTTATTACCTTAGAAGATTACATATAACAAAATAACTGATCTTAAAATCTTTCGCTTAAGAATATTTATCGAATTTCAAACAAATAAATGTCATTTTCAATTGAAATGGTTGACAGTTCTCACACAGAATATCTTAAGAAAAACGAGCGCAACCATGATAAATAAAAACAAAGCCCGTTGCCAAATTCGATCAACTTATAATTTGTTTCTTCCATTTTCAAATAATTTTCCAGCCGTCAGACTTCATAAATTATAATTACATAAATTATCTTTTATTTAATTTATATATTCTATATTTTAACTTTAGCAGTGTTCAAGACCTTTGTTCGTAGGCCTTGATTAGGGACGCCAGGGAGGTTCGAATAATTTCATGGATGGCCCAGTTCGTTGATGACGATCTTTCGTGAATAGCTATAAAATAAAATTGATTTAACAATTTTTTTAATGTTTCGCATGGAATTTTAAACAGTGAATGTGGTTTTTAAATATCGCTCAGAGTTAATTTTCTTAAATACAAAAGGAACTCACAATTTTTTGTCATCCTTATTAAATTTGTATTTCAAATAATTATTGTTTGTCATTTCTGATTCGTCCGAAATTTCAAAGATTAAAAATTTTTAGATTTTTTAGATCCCATTGAGTTTACATTTGACTGATATCCTCTTAAGTGCGTTCTATACCATTTTTATAGATTCTTTTTTAAAATTTTAAACTTGTGACGTACTGAATTCATGCACTGCAAAATGCGATTTCTTCATTTAATTAGATAAATTACACTGCATTTAAAAAATCCCAGATTGTTTTTATTCTCATATAACAACTATGTGTTCTTATGAAAGATATCTGATGTGTTAGTTAAGGTAAATATTCGTGATTTTTACGTGTTACTTTATGCTTTTAAAATATCAGTTTAGTGATCTTTATCTGCTATTATAAAAATCTGATAGAAGGAGGAAAGTGCCACTATATAATTTTAAATTAGAGATAAAAGCAAACTTACTTTCACGTCGTCAGGCTACGGTTACTTTTACGCTAAATTTTGGACATTCATAAAAATGTTTAATTTCTTAATACAGTTTTGCAAAATTTGTTATAATCGTAATCAAAAATGTTGCTATGGTAACATAATTCCTGTAAATAGTAATTAACGGTAAACAAACTGAAAGTTAAATGTTTCAAGGTATATATAATTTCGTAAATTATACTATCTAACTTCTTGTTTATTGCATGTTTGTAATGTTCTTAAGTATTGTCATAATTTGTTACTGAGATTTGTTATTTCTAAACTATTTTGCAGAAAATGAGGCTCAAACTGTAAGTAGCAAAGGAAGTGTGTCTGTTGCTAGCACAATTTTCAAAGAGGACGATATATCATTAGACAATGCTTCAAATATTACAGGTGAAAATGAAAATGAAAGGAAAAATATATTTCTTATCGTTCGCATACCGAAGAAAAGTTATTTAGGTGGATACAGGGATAAAGTGACAGGTCTTATTTATCATCATGCTAAAATTCAAACTTTACCTCCTCCTTGGAAATATGGATTCATGGAAAGATTCTGTAGGTAAGCCTTTTTATTAGTGGAAAATTAATATTTATAAATATTATTATTTCCTCCAATAAATCAGTTTTTATTTGAATACATTGTTAATTATAAAAAATATTGATAAACACTTTTATTTCTACTAAACTATCTCTATTCTATTAAATATAAAAAATTATTAATGTTTGGATCTGATTTTTCCCCCCTGTTCTTGTTGTAAGAAGAGTGTAGAGATTATTGGTTGACAAAATTATTTGATTAGAATCATTTATGACAGCTATAATCTGCTTTGTTCTATTTAAAATATTAAAAGTGTGAAAATAAATGAAGGTATCAATTATTATTGAATTTTTTTAAATTATATATCTGTTGGTACTCTTATCAATTTAGTGTAACGGCGAGGGATGGAATTAAAATGATAGCAGATTCCTTAGAGCAAATCATCCCTTATAAATAGTAGCTCAGTATTATCTGCAATGTATTTATTTTTTTCTTCTGCTTTGAGATTAACATTAAAGAAGGAATGCAATTAACTGTTGTTTGATATAAGTGTCAAATCTTGGCAATTATATCAATAAACAGCATATAAGTGCCGTATATTGATGTAAGTGCTTATTGGTTATAAGTGAATCACTTAATAACCAGTGGACTATTTAAAGCCAAAGGTTTAATACATGGCAATCGTATATTAGGATCGTATATTCGTATATCGTATATTAGGATCGTATATTCGTATATCGTATATCGTATATTAGGATCAGACCATTTTTTTTTCAGATGTGATTAGTTGAAACTAATCACATCTGAAAAAAAAAATGGTCTGATTCTAATATACGATATACACACGGGTTTTGGCACATGTGAGATATCGGATGGAAACGCTTCATTTTAGTCTTGGAGACAATTCTCAAAATCACACCAAAGCCGTATCGTGTTCTAGCATTTCACACACACACACACACACACACCAAAAAAAAAAAAAATAAAATAAAATAAAATAAAAAAATAAAATAAAATAAAAGGTGGCATACTTTTTCCATAAAACATAATAACGAAAGGAAATTAGGCAATTACGATAAAAATTATCATATATTTCTTCCTTTGCTTTCAAAATTAGTTTCCTAAAAACATAGTTTTCGAATTAAGTATCATATAATCGCAGTACTTTTAAAATACTTCACTGAAAATGTTTTAGCAGCTTGTTAGTTGAGAATTTTGATTGTAAACTACTGAATGTATTTTCATTGCTGTCATATAACCTCTGCGCTTCTACAGCAAATTTTGTTAAGAATATAAACATTTAAGCCACCTTAGTCTTTTCTTCCGTAAATTAATTGTAAAAAAATTTTTTGCAATTAAAATTAGTATTTCTACGCTAAAACAAGAAATTAGGTTAGCGGGCAGGAAGATAGATTTTTAGGTGCACAAAAGTACTATTGGTCCCGCTCGAAAAGACACTGAAAGTTGGCGCAGAAACTTTTAATTCACTATTCTACTAAGAGTTTCAACTGTAAAAAGAAATGGCATCTTCGTTAGGCTTAATACCATTTAAACAACTTTTAAATTAATTTAGAAGTCAAACAACAAAAATCAGCGTTATATTTTCAAATTTACACAGGACTAGTTTCGATGGTTTTACCGAACCATCATCCTCAGCTTCAAAAGCGCAAATGAACGAGATAAGATATAATGATTAGATTAGGTAAGATAAGAAAGTCTGGACAAGAGATAAGCTACTGGCGCCATCTGTTCATGAAACCAGAACTAAAACATAATTTCTTTAAAGGCTGAAGGCAAAGATGGATTGGAATTAGGGTCGTTAACTAGAACAGAAAGATTTTTAATGTGAAATGCCTCTAGAAAATCCAGTTTACCAATGGAGGATGTTTTTTGAATAATTTTGGCAGCAGAAAAATTGAAAGTGTGATTTTCGGACCAACAATGTTGGGCACTTCTGTGTTTCCTTTTTTTCTAACATATGCCTCATGTTCCTTAAAGCAAAATTTTAAGGCTCTCTTAGTTTGGCCAATGTAAATTAAACAACACTGGCAAGGGATCCTGTAAATACCCCAGGAATTCATATCCGGAATGGGGTCCTTGATTATGGAACTCGGCATTTTATTGATGGGAGAATAAACGACTCTAAGTTAAATTTCTGCAAAATACGTGCAACTTTATAGCTACTTGATGGAAAGAAGGGAATGACAAAAGAATTTTTATAATCTCCTAAAACAAGAGTGTGCCTTTTGATGTGTGGAGATGAGAATTTTTTAACTGCTTGATTAATAATGTTGGGTGAAAAGCCCCTGTCAATAGCTATTGCTTTTAAATAATTTAGTTCTTCATCAAGGGATAGTTTGGAGGAGCAAACTTGAAGAGCACGGAAAATATAGGAATAAAATGAAGATAACTTTTGTTTAGTCGGATGACTTTTGTTATTTGACTTCTAAATTAATACTTGTTCTACGTGTTATTGTAACTTAAGTATATAGTCTATTAAGTAACATCATACGATGTAGGGAGTATTGCAGAGTGGTAAAATGAAAGCGGGAGCTGTGCCAGTTAACAGGTTTTACCTTCAAACAGGAAGGTAATAAAGAAGGTAATATGGTAATAAAGATGATTTAAATAAAGTTTTTTCAACAATGAATTCCATTGATCCTGCTATTCAGTTCACTTCTGGACTTAAGACTTGCAATTCTTTTCCGTTTCTCGACATTCTGGTCACACGCAACACATCCAACTTCAGTATTACGGTTTACCGTAAACCTTCATCGGTTTGCCTTCCACCACGCTTTAAGTCATGTCTTCCGACTAAACAAAAGTTAGCTTTATTTTATTCCCATATTTTCCGTGCTCTTCAAGTTTGCTCTTCCAAACTATCACTTGATGAAGAACTAAATTATTTAAAAGCAATAGCTATTGACAGGGGCTTTTCACCCAACATTATTAATGAAGCAGTTAAAAAATTCTCATCTCAACACATCAAAAGGCACACTCTTGTTTTAGGGAAATACCCTCATATGCGGTCAGGTCATAAATTTAGAACCCCTTTTTTCACAGGGGGACTGAAAAGGAAGGGATAATCTTGCTCGTGGTCTTGAGAAAATGTGGGGGTCGTTTAAACATCTAACTTCTCTACATTCAGTTTTATGCAGAGGAAAATACAAATTGAATTCTTCGAATGAATGCAATTTTGTACAATGAAAACGTATTACTTAACGATAAACTGTAAGATAAATAACATCTTTTTTTAAAGCCATAGGTGTAGAAAGACAGATACAGTAAGACCCCGCTTAACGCGGGGGATACGTTCCATCAAAGTAGAGCGTAATGCGAAACAGCGCTAAACGAGGCTATCTTTACATGTAAATATTGGGGTTAGGGGAAGATAGCTAGGAAATTGGTTAGGTATTAAATTTAAAAAGTATGTTTTTTTTTTTTTTTAATAAACATAAACCAAACATTTATTTCTTAAAGCCCAAATTAATACCACATTATTATTTCTTGCAAAAATAAAAACAAAATATAAATAACAAAACGAATATTCTTAAAAAAACAAATAAAATTCTAAATCTGTCATATTTAGTTAGCCTTCGTTTTCAGTGTTCTGCCTTTTTGTGACAAAAGCATCTAATGTTGTTTGCCCTTTTTCTTTTGCGTTGTTCTTCATAAACGGATAGAGCATTTCTTACACCACGCCTTACTTTTGAGCTCCTGTCAAAACTCGGATCATTTTCAATGAATTGATCCATTATTTCAGT